CTGGGTGTTACCTGGGGTTTCAGTGCTATTTTTAGCTGTTCAGGGTGTTGGAGTTGAGGCGCTACCCCTCTGAGGGTAGCGCAACAGGGTTCTGGGGTTATTCAGTGAAAACGATGCTCTGAGTTTAATAAACAGTTGTAAAACTGTGTTTGAGTTGTCATCTCTTCATTGATTTCTGGCTGTGATCTCTCGGTTGTCTTCTATGAATGATTGTTGGGATCTGTGTGGAGAGAAATCACAGTTAGTGTGTTCTGTCACTTCGCTCTTCTGAGTCTTCCGCTGCGTTTCTTTCTGTTGGGCGGTGTGATACTCCACTACCTCTACCCTTCCTTTTGTGCATGTATGGGCATGTACGGGAGTTCCTGTGAGTGAGTGTTGATAAAATTTCAGCAGACAATCATGTTCATAACAAGGGTCTGCGAACTGTGCTGAGTCCGTTACGTCTGAGAACCGGTAGGCTTTCTGGGCCCGCCAGGCCTGGAATCGGGTACCTCTGGCCTGGATTACCAGGGCACTCCAGGCCTAGATTGGGGGGTACCCAATAATACTACCCATGGTCTGGGAATGACAACTGGTCAGGCCCGACACTGCGTCAATGAGTTCTTTAGAGGTTAACTTTGGCCGCAGAATAGCAAACTGCCAGGGAGGGGAGTGAGACTGCTTGGGCATGCAGCCATGCCTGGGAAAAGCTGGCGACGAACATAGCTGGCAGTACAGGGAGGAGGGAGGGAGACAAGGAGGAGGACTGGAGGCACACTTGGGAGAGAGAAGAGGCATGAGAGCGGGGGAAGCTTACCTGGTGACTCATGGCAATGGACACATCGAAGAAGCTGACTCTGAGACTACACGGGGCCGGTATTGTTCAATCAAACCTGCATTGTTTTGGTGGTGCACCTCTGGGAGGTCTGGCAAGGAGAGAGATTACACTGACTTAGGCTGGGGAGGCTGGAGAGGCTGGAGAGGATGGAGAGGATGGAGAGAAGATTCCTTGACAGCTTTTCCTTGTCAGCAGAATCCGATGCATCAATTAAAACAGTGCAACCCCTGCCAGCGGAATCCGATGCATCGGTTAAAAGGGTGGAAGGGGCAAAACCCCCCGGCGCAAGACAGATGGGCCCGGCAGGGGCTGATTACCTACCTGAGAGGGGAGGGAACAGAAAAGAAACACAGAGGGGGCGGGGGCGGGGAGGGGAGGGGAGCAGGGGGGAGCAGGGGCAGAGGGGAGGTAGGCACCAAAAAAAAACAGAGGGAGAAGGGGGCACGGGGGGGGAAATAACAGGGACAAGGGAAAAAACAAACGAAAAAAAAGATAACTTCCAGTGACAAAGCACAATCACATGGAACAGACGGTCAAAGGGGAGACACTGGGAGAGTTCCAGTCCCGGAGGACATCTTCAGCGAGGCGTTTGGGCCCGAGCCGATGGATATCGAAATCGTCCCGGGACAGACACCCCAGCCAGGAGATACTGAAATGGCACAACACAGAAAACGTGCAAGCAGAAGGGGAACAGGAACCACCCCCCCTACAGATAGAGGACTGACTGATCCATCCTGGCAGACTGGCTAATGGATAATTTTTTTGCAGCTTCAGTACCAGGGCAGGGACGAGGAGTTCTGGGACCGTACCTATTATGACCTCATTCCTCTGCTGGAAAGTAGCAGCAGCCTAAAAGCGGCACTGTCATTCCTCTGGTGGAAAGTAGCAGCAGCCTAAAAGCGGCACTGTGGAGAGCGACCCTACAGGGCGCGGAATGGCAGAACACATGCCAAAAATTGATAACCATTATCATCAACCGTTCCGTTTCCAATCCCCCACCAGGGAGACTGAGGAACGGACTGCGTTGCAATGAGATAGTAGTTCCGACATCGGGAGCCGACGTCTCCCCCATCGGCCACAGGAAAGACAGAGCGACGCAGCTCAGATGGCGTACAGAACAACGATGGGACACAACAGGGAGAAGAAGAGCCTGGAGGGACTGAAAACCAAGGGAGGCAGGGGAAGACTCAGGGGGAAGAGGTTGCAGAATGACAGACCCAAGCCGGACCAAAGCACCAAGCAATTACAGGGGCGGGGGATTGGGAGACGCGGAAGGAGCAGATCCAGAGGCGGATGGGGAACTGAAGGCACGAGGGGAAGGGACAATTTGAAAGGGGTAGAGAGGGACACACCCAGGCCGGAGCACAGCACATTGAAGGAGCGGAAGCAGAGGGCGGACAAGGGGACACTGAGAACCAGGGGCCCTGGGAGAAAGACGGGGAGGGCAAACAGGAAATGGGAGGCCGTCTGGGACTGAAGGGGAAAGGAAAGGAAGGAGAGGCCAGCAAGCAGGCCCTAGTTGAAACAAGCCGATATTAGGAACTATCGCCCTATCTCTCTCCTTAATGTCCACGGTAAAATCCTCGCCAAAACCCTCTCCCGCCGACTAAACCCACTTCTCCCCAAGTTAGTACACCCGGACCAGTCCGGTTTCATACCGGGCAGACAGGTGTTAGACAACGTTATGAGTCTTATGACTATCTCCCAGTCTATTTGACTGGATTAACCTCCATAAGCTAAATAAGACCGTAATCTTAATCGACTTCCAGAAGGCCTACGATAGAGTGAGCTGGGACTTGGTTCAAGCTACCCTGGAGAAAGTTGCCATCGGCCAGAATTTCAGGAAATTCGTGAAAGCACTATATGGCTCCTCCACCGGTTGAGTCCTCGTAAAGGTGACCGTTTCATTGTTGCAGTGTCTCAACTCAAGTGTTTTCATCGTTTATTTTTTTTTTTTTTATTTTTTTTTTTTACAAAAACACAGTCCTTGCAGTGCAAGTGATGCTGATGTGCGCAGGCATCACTAGCACCTGGGGAGAGGCTCTATCATCTATTGGTGGGGAGCAGCACCTGTTTTTCATCGTCTGTAATACGACTAAAGCTTTTTTTTTTCTTTTTTTTTTGACAAAAAAAGAAGAAAGGACTAAAGCTGCTTCGATTGTAAAAAAGGACTAAAGCTGCTTCGATTGTGGATCTATTCATCTCGGTGGAATAGGGGCTGTTGTGGTGAAATTTCAAACACACACACACACACACACACCCCTAAGAAGAGGAAGAAGAGGAAGAAGAGGAAGAAGAGGAAGGGGGAGAAGGGGGAGAAGGGGGAGAAGGAGGAGGAGGGTGAGTACACTAGAGCTGAAGGAGTATGGCACCGAGAAGGCAAAAGAGGTGGAGAGGGAGGAGGAGGATGAAGAGGGTGAATGAGTGCAGACGGAGGAGGAGGAAGAGGGCCATGGAACTCTCCTAAGTTGGAGGTGATGTAGCTGCTGGGGGCACGCGGAAAAGATGCCTGCCCCGTACCGGGGCAGACCACAAATGACCACAATTGGAGTTTCGTGCGTCGTTGACTGGGGCCTGCGGCTGGGTCAGAAGGGCCTTCACCAAATACCCAATCTTGGAGGGGCACCTGACGAAATACTGCAGCTTTGAGGGGCATCCAACAAAATTTACCTTAAACTCTGTAACCGCTCACACTATTATGGATTTGAACCTGGGCCTCCCTCCGCTATTCTCGACATGCAGAAAAGACCAAAATCCTGGCGGTGTATTTTTCCGTCTTCTAACGGAAGATCCACTCTCGTTCTGCACATGGCGAGAGTAGTGGAGCCTGGCCCCTTGTCGCTTGTTGCACATTGGGGGCGGTTTTTTTAATCTCACGGCCAGCCTGCAAGATAAGCTTTTGAAACGTGAATGGATCTTCTTCTTTTTCTTCTTCTTCTTCTTCTTCTTCGAGATGAGACACTAAGGAGGATGATGGCGCAAATGCCCGATACGTATCCCAATAGCAACCACAGGACTGCAGATATGTTGTGCTGCTACGAGATGCCCTCGCCCTTTTCTCTGATTTTGGAACTTTTTGGCCCCCCCCCCCCATAAAAAAAAAAAAAAGACCTTTTTGGCCCGCTTTTCTCTTTCCCTTTCCCCTCTCTCTTTCTTTCTCTCTCTGGACCTACCTTGTAGTTGCACTACTGGCCATCCGCCAACACTCTGGACGCATCTGGTCATACGAGTTGTCCAGATGCCTTCAGAATGTGGCCGAATCTGTTCATCCTGTGTTGTCCAGGTGCGTTTAAAATGTTGGCGGATGGCGAGTGGTGCAACTACCTGTAGTAAAAAAAAGAAAAAAAAAAAACTACCGGTAGTCGGTCCTCTGTTACGTGGCCCAGTACTCTCGACATGCACAAAAGACAAAAATCACGGCGGTATATCTTTCCATGTTCTAAAGAGAGATTCACTCTCGCTTTGCACATGTCGAGAGCCTGAGTGCTGGAGCGAGGCCCATAGAAAAGGAGGAGGGAAAAAAAAAAAAAGAAAAAAAAAAAAAAGAGGAGAAACGAACAGCCGGGGTAGTCCACGTCACCGAACCCTTTGAAACAAAGAATCTCCCATTAATCTACATAAGTGTCCACGTCACATCATTGTCGATAAGGTTGATTTGAATGGAATATTCCTGGGACCCTCGAATTCACACTACCGTAGCACTTTTTTTTTTTTTTTTTTTTTGATGTATCTGGCGGCAATTACGTCCGGTTCTTCGGAACATCCGTTAAAATAGTAACGATACAGAGAATTAAGATCAGCATGGCCCCTGCGATAGGATGCCGCTGCCCAAGGATGAATGACACGCATGAATGGAGATGGAGAACTGGTCCAAGTACATCCCGGACTGAATGCATCTGACCGTAATCGCGCCCAAAGCTGCGTCCAAAACTCACTGTAATCACGCCCATAGGTAGTGTGAGTACGCGCTCAACTTTTCTAGTCTAGGTTCATAGTAAGCGCCTCGCTTCACTACGCAACACTCTACATGCATTTCGACATTTTTGGGACCGGATGCATTTTTAATATGTTGGATTCGTCCGAGTGCATCTGGTCCATTAAGCGTCCCAATGCATGTACTCTGTTCTGTAGTGGAGGGACGCCCTAAATCTTCGGCTTCTATTCGGCTACTACCGTAGCGGGTTGGACGTCTCAACCACCACCCACTTGCACTGGCCGTCGATTCTTTTTTTTTTTTTTTTTTTTTTTTACNCCAGCACATTGCGGCTTGTATACCGCTACAATGATGCAATGTTTCCACTTGAATGAATTTAGACCAGCGCCCCAGGCCCGTTCATCCCAGCACGTTGCGGCTTGTACACTTGTATACCATGGTGACTTTTGGAAGTATTGGTGGTTTAAACTTTAAACCAGCAGTTCACAGGAACCTAAGTAGTGGTCTTTATTTTTTTCGTGTTGTTTTTTTTTTTTTTTTTTTTTTTTACTTGGTTAACCGCGGTTAATGGGCCTCACTCTTTTTTTTTGTTTTTGTTTTTTGAGCCTCGCTCCATTACTCACCAACCAAATGTGCAAAATGAGAAAGAAAGTCCGAACTCTAGAACGTGTTAGTGGCCATCTCCTTCTTCTTCTTCTTCGTCTTCCTCTTCTTCTTCTTCGTCTTTCTTCTTCTTCTTCGTTTGCTGGTGCTCGTATAGCTGGTGCTGCTGTGTGTGTTCCTCTTTTTTTTTTTTTTTTTTTCTTGTTCACTGCGCTGATTAACAAGTGTGTTAACTAGGAAGGGAGAAGGAAGAGGGGAAAAAACACGGGGGGAAAGAAAGGAAAGGGGGAAACAAAAAAGGTTACAGAATAGGAGGCAATTCAGAGAACAATCTTTTTTTTTTCTTTTCTTTTTTGAAACGAAAAACCTTCAGCTCATTGCCAATATGAGAACAATCTTAAACAAAGTGGAAAGAAGTAACCAGAGCGCCAGACAGAAGAGCCATAGTGAAAAGGAGTTCTTAAGACAAAAAAAAGGGCAAAAGAAGAAATGGTCCAAACATTCACAAAAAAAAAAAAAAAAGAAAAAAAAAAGAAAAAAAAAAAAGAAGAAGATACGGGGCAAGTAGTAGGGAGCAGAAAAAGAGGAGAGAAGAAAAGGCGGGCTGACGAAATCAAAAGCATGACCCCACGACGAAATCAACAGCATGACCCCCCGCGCAGTCTTCCTCTCTGTGTGGACGGTCGTCAACGCGCTGACCGACTCGCCCGCCAACCGAGAATTTGAAATTGTAGCCGTTGATAGGTGGTGGTTGAGTTGGAAAGAGAAGGGAGAAGGGGGGAAGGGGGGGGGGAGGAGGGGGAGAGGAGGTTGTCGTCGGAATCGCGCCACGTCAGCGCAGTGGTCTTGGAGAAGGCGTTGAAGGTGGAAGAGGACGAGAGCCACGTCAGCAATCTAGGGAGGCATGCCCGAAAGGGCACGTGCGCGCGCTCGCTGTCGTGTACCACATGTGATGAGAGACAAAAGCCGCGGAACGGAGGCATGCGCGCGCTATCGGTCGAAGGCATACGCGGGGGAAGTGCGCGCAAAGGAGGAGTAGATTGGGCGGGAAACTGCCACGTGTTAATACTGTAATTAATTCAGTAGTCAATCAGAGGGGTCATCGATATCGTGTCACACGAGCAGAGCGGTGGCGCGTAAGAGAGAGAGAGAGAGAGAGAGAGAGAGAGAGGAGGTTACGTGGCAGTTAGTTGATTGGGACACGCCACGTGTCGCGCAGAAGATAGGTTGGGCAACAGCAAAGGAGGGCGGGAATATCAGGGGGAACGTTTTCACTCCGCCGCCTCCATTCCGTCTAATTGGACACGTCAGCGCGTGAGCGAGGAACAAGAAGGGAGCAGGGAATGACAACCCATCCATCGCCTTCTTGAAGGAGGAGGAGGAGCTCGGTTCATCGGGGCGGGGAGGAGGAGGAGGAGGAGTGCAGCTGCGCGTGTGTAAGATCAGACGCATACGCGTACGCACGTTCACACAGCGAGATGGCGGCGGCGGCAGTAGGAGCGGGCGCGGCAGTGGGGAAGGCGTTGTTGCCATCGATGCGGGAGGGGGGGGACGCGCAGCGGGGGAGGTCCGCCGGCGAAGCTGAGGCAGTGCGCGCTTCCGCTGCGGCGGCCACGGAGGGGAAACTTCGGAGGCTCGGTGAGAGGGAGCAGCAGTCGAGCTCGGACGGCGGGCGTTTTCCGCGGAGGCGGCGGACGATGCGCCCGACGATTGCGCGCGACGGCGGCGGCGGAGTTTTCCCCCGGCTCTGCTGCGCGCATGCGGCGAAGCCGAAGCCTTCTTCTTCTTCGCCGCCGCCGCCGGGTGGATGCGCAGGGTACGCGGAGCAATCCGCCCAGCAACCCGCCCAGCGGGGATCGTGCGACGCGGCCCAACACCTCCCGCGCAATCCTGTCCGTCATGCGTTCATCTCTTCCGCCGTCGCCGCCGCCGCCGCCGCTTCCCTCGCCTTATCGGGATTGGGATTCGTTGCTCCGCCTTTGGCTTCGGCGGAGCTGAACAAGTACGAAGCGGATACGAGGGGGGAGTTCGGGATCGGCTCGGCGGTTCAGTTCGGTTCCGCCGATTTGCGCGGGACGATGCACAAGAACGAGAACTTCCGCCGGGCCAACTTCACTTCCGCCGACATGCGCGGCGCAGACTTCAGCGGAAGCTTCTTCAACGGCGCGTACATGGAGAAAGCCGTCGCCTATCAAACCAATTTCGACGGCGCTGATCTCAGCGACACGTTGATGGACCGTATGGTTCTCAACGAGGCCAATTTGAAGAATGCCCTCCTAGTGCGCGCCGTGCTGACCAGGAGTGACCTGGGGGACGCGACGATCGACGGCGCAGATTTCAGCGATGCGGTGCTCGATCTTCAGACCAAGATCAGTCTCTGCAAGTACGCCAGCGGAACCAATCCCGTCACAGGGATGAGTACGCGGGAAAGCCTAGGCTGTGGGAATAGGAGAAGGAACGCGTATGGAACCCCCTCCGCGCCCATCCTGAGCTCCCCCCCGGAGAGACTGCTCGATAGGGATGGCTTCTGTGACAAAAGCACGGGAATGTGCGAGTCGTCCGATTTGAATTAAATCAAGTAAAAGCAAAGGCCAAAGCAATCCAAGCAATCCAATCAATCTAATCAATCCAATCAATCTAATCAGTCTAATTTCCAATCAATCTAATCATCCCCGTCAATCCAAGAATCTAATTAACCTAATAAATCGAAATTAACCCAATCCAATGAATCAATGAATCAATCAATCAATCAATGAATTGATCCAATCAAGCACTCAATCAGCCAATCAATCAATCAAAAAATCAACCAATCAGTGTAAATAAAATATGGAACCTTCCCCTGGTCCTCCCTCCTAAGGTGGAGGCTGATTCCTAGAAATATATACATATATATAGATATATAGTATATATGATGAGTCGGTGAAACTCCGACGAAACAGTTTGTCACAGCCCCTCGTTTGTTGTCCTCTTCTCCCTCTCTGCCTACGGTTTACCGGCCAGTTCTATTTGACGATATATATGTACTCTACGTAAGGGTTGGTTATCTGCTTCATAAGGGTTATCTGCTTCGTGAGTTTGTCTGTGTTTCGTACTCTCCAGATTAACTGCCTCGTAACTCGAGTTTGCGAGTCTTTGAAATCACAGGTTAAGAAAAAAAAGAACAAAGACGAAGAAATATAAAAAAGACGAAGAAAAAGAAAGACGACGACGACGACGACGACGACGAAGAAGAAGAAGAAGAAGAATCGTGAATAGTGAAAACAGGGACCGACTGTGTTTGAAATAATATAGCCACAAAAATAGAAAGGAAAACAAAAAAGAAGAGCAGAAAGAAAAAGAAAGAAGAGGAAGCTGCAGGTTATCTGCCTTGTAAATCCTGTGTTGCTAACTAGAAGGATCTTTTATTTTTTGTACAAGTTCTTGAAATCACAAGTTGCAAAACAAATGAACAAAGCAAATGAAGAAGAAGAAGAAGAAGAAGAAGAAAACACCGGTTATGTATCTAAGAAGTAGAAGCAGCAGAAGAAGAAGAAGAAGAAGAAGAAGAAAACACAGGTTATGTATCTAAGAAGTAGAAGCAGAAGCAGAAGCAGGAGGAGTAGAAGAAGAAGAAGAAGAAGAAAACACAGGTTATGTATCTAAGAAGTAGAAGCAGAAGAAGAAGAAGGAGGAGGAGGAGGAGGAGAAGGAGGAGGAGGAGAAGGAGAAGAAGAAGAAGAAAACACAGGTTATGTATCTAGGTGGTTTGTAAGTTGGAGACTATGAGTGTACTTGAGACCAACCAACCAACCAACCCACGGTTTGTATCCGGTCACCAGGTTATATCCAGGTTATGTACTCTCTCTCTCTCTCTCTCTCTCTCTGCATTCTAATGCAGCCAGGGCCATAAAGTTATCTACTTTTTAAAGGTTGACGTTCCAACTTTTGTGAGCTGTTTGAAACGCAGTGGTGTTTGTATCCGAAGGGCTCAATTTTTAAAGGTTGACGTTCCAGTTTTTGTGAGCTGTTTGAAACACGGACGGGATGGATGATGGGATAGTGGCCCCACCTGTTAAGATCTTTTTCGACGATTTATTTTGAAATTTGAATTTTTAGAATTTTGAGTTTTAAAGTTTTTTGAATTTGTCTGTTGAGTGAATGCTATCATCATCACACACATAACCAGCAGGGGACCTCACAATTCAACACTAACCCGGAAAATCGAAACTTTCAGTGAAAATTCATCATTCTATTAATTTCTGTGTTAAAAAAAAAAAGACGAAGGATACGAAAAATCCGATCGTTTGCCTCCAGCAGGTTTAATCATTTTTTTTTTGAAAATAACGGAATCATAGTATTTTTCTAAAAAAGAGAAAGGTATGAAAATAAAATTTCATGTCCGGTTTTAAAGTAGAGGTAATAAACTGTTTTATATTACCCCCCTCGTAAAATTAAATTTCGTAAACATCATAGAGGAAGAATGAAAGGAATTTCTACGAGAGGGAATTCAATTGTTTTTGGAAAGTTTGCTTTACAAGCCTTAGAGCCATCTTGGATTTTTTTTTTTTTTTTTTTTTTTTTCCTGTTTTCTTTTTTTAATTTTTTTTTTTTTTTTTTTTTTTTTTTTTTTTTTTTTTTTTTTTTTTTTTTTTTTTTTTTTAAATAATCAGGCGGTTGGTTTGACCGCTGGATTTCTCACCGTGAATGAGTTTACAAAAAAGAAAAAAAAAAAGAAGTTTGATTTGTTAAATTTTTGTTTTGATTTTGATTTGATTTCACTTTGATTTCGATTTGCTCGGGTTATAACTGCGAAAGCATAGCGTGTTTTTTCTTTTCTTTTTTTTTTTCTTTTTTTTCTTTTTAAGAATCATAAAATCGTAAAGTCTTGAAAATATGCCGTACTTTATAGAACAGAATCTAAATGGTATTTTGAATTATTTTCTCACACCTGTACCTCTGTCCCCCAAACGTGTACGCACTCACAAACACAACACGCACACACACACACACACACACAGAGACACAGACAAA